GTTGGGCCAGTGACTACCTCACTTTTGACAACTTTTGGTCGCCATTGGCGAGCATCCATTTCAGACACTGCTGCACAACAAGGGAACAAGGGGAACCTCCATATAAAATTTGAGAAAGATCCCCCCCGTACTTCCTGAGAAATAGCGATAACAAACTTTCATTATCAAAATCCAAAATGGCTGCCCGTCATCCATGTTGTTTATCCAGTCAGTCTCAAAAGTTGCCCTGCTCAGCTAGGGACCAAGGGGAACCTACATATAAAATTTAAGAAAGATCCCTCTGATACTTCCTGAGAAATAGCGGTAACAAACCTTCACCATCAAAACCCAAGATGGCTGCCTGTCGGCCATGTTGTTTATCCGATCAGTCTCAAAAGTTACACTGCACAGCTAGGGACCAAGGGGAACCTATATATAAAATTTGAGAAAGTTCCCTCTGGTACTTCTTAGAATTCTGAGAAATACCGAAAACAAGAATTGTTTAAGGACGGACGACACGGTGGACGGCTGGACCACAGACCAAGGACGCAGGGTGATTTGAATAGCCCACCATCAGATAATGGTGGGCTAAAAAGCAGTATTTATAAGTTTATTTATCAAATTTTTAAACTTTCAAATCTTGGCAAAAAGGTTTCCAATACAAAGAATATCACAAATGTTTAAGAACATTTTCAATTCTCAAAATCCAATCTATTGTAAGAGCTACATTTTCTCCACTGCTCATTGAAACAGTAAAATGTTTATGGATGATTTGAACAAGAAACTACATTGCAGAAAATCTAGCTCTAGAATGGGACAGGAAACATGAAATTAAAGAATTAATACTTAAATTTGTTTCTATTCAAAATAATACAAGGCAATTTAAACAGAACATAAGTTTTTGGCTTTATCCATTGTACCCCACCATCTTTAAAACATTACATAACTAATTTGATAACCAAGTGCAAATGCACTGAAAAATATATGTTGTTCTTTACATATGTACATATTTTATAAACTACATACCGGGTAGTCTTAAAAAAATACAATTACAGCTGTATGACAATATCAATTACTTAATAACTTGTGAAACTTGAGGGGTTGAGTATGTGATGTACAATTGTACATGTATAGACGGAGACACAATAACCTTCAGTGGTAAGAGTATTTAACTGAATGTTTAACTCATTCACCCCTGAAGACACATTTGCACTCTTCCAATTCAAATGTTGGAATAGTTCATTATGAAATTTCAGGGGTGAATGAGTTAAGGAAGAGTGCAGTAAAGAACTTGAGTGTTAGCGCAAGGCAGTCTCTGAATCAACATATCTCTTTAAACAGTCACCGTACCACATACCAAGTTGTTAGAAAATGGCTTTCCAAATTGCCAAAGAAACCACCCAATTTAATTACATCAGTAAATGTAATAGCACCCCAGCAAAAAAGATGTGGCCACCAAACTTGGAAGGCTAAAGACCCAGGGCTTTTAGGACAAAGCAAAGACATTTAATGAAAATAACATCATTAAGACAGGCAAGACTCTGAGGATAGGACAAAGAGGGGTTCTAGGGGTTCCTGCAGCAGAGAGAGAGCCTTCTGGACAGCTGAACAGGGGCAAAGGTGGTGTTTGAAAAGTCAGGAATGAATAACAATAGGGGAAAGTCCATAACTGCATAGTATTTACAATCTTCAGAGAAAGCATCATACCCGAAGTACAATGTCAAATTGACATACATATGTACTGTACATGATCCTGAGGGTCAAAAGAAGATGGGCTGTAACATTATTTGGGCGTAGGAAACCAAAGTAGGCAGTTAGTTTAAATACATTTCATAAAACATCATTAACATTCCTCTTATTTGCCGTTGAAGGGTATTTTACTGACTACTGGCTACAAATGAAACCCCTGGAAGCTGCCAAGAATACTCTGTTATTGTTGCAATTGAAATCAAGCATTGCAAATTTCCTCGACATTGGTACTATAATGTGCGGACGGTCACCCATCCAACTACCAACCACGCTGAACGGTCACCCATCCAACTACCAACCACGCTCAGTGTTGCTGAACTAATGAGTGGGTCCTTTGGTTATACCACATCACTGGAAAAGCTAGCCTGCCAGGAAGGCAGTATTTTTCCCTTAGCTGTAACAGTATGGTGAATGTACAGGATAATCCATTTATTTGATAATCACATTGATTAGTGAGCAGGCATCCTCGATACTCCAGGGGTTACGCTCACTTTGGTCTCAGCATGCACCCCTGGAACATATCATAGCAAAATCAAAGGCGCAGCATGCACCACCTTGTGGATAAAGATGTGAAGACTAAGTCTGTTCTTATGATGTACATCAAAAGATTAGACCAATCAAACATCTAGACGCAAGCCTTCGATTTTGCTACGACCTATTCCAGGTGTGCAGAGAGCGTAAGTGAGCATAATTCCCCTGGAGTATCGAGGATGGTGAGCAGAGGGATATACGAGAAAGGCGCAGGGTGAATACAGTGAGAGACTGAGTGCATATCAACTCAATGTATAGTTCGAATTATTCTGACGTTTTATCGACTTTTTTTTATATCGGTCTTGGCGTTGATTCCCGATATTAAAAAAAGTCGATAAAACGTCAGAATAAATTGGACTGCTCAATGTAGTGAAACCTTACAATTACCATAAGGATATAGAGCGCCCTCTCCACACTCAACACCCACAGAACCGACCTGGAATAACGGTAGGGAGCAGACGACACTCGATCTGGACACACACCACAGAATCAACCAAATGCTCTACTTCTTGGCTAGAATCATGGTACAGATTCCCAACCGACGCATGAACATGTACACTTCTATAGACTTGGGGGTGGGGATATGTGACATACCCCAGTGCATACGACTTGAAACAGCATTCATGAAAAGAATTTTTATAAATATATTGCGGCGAAGCATTCTTTTATGGATTTTTTTTTTTTAACTAAGACTGTGTGTTAGGAATAGATTTTTTATTTATTATTTGGTATCATGAACAATATCTGATGAAATCCTTTTTTCAATTTTCTGTATTGAGCCATTTTGATCCACAGTTTATACCAAGCATCATGATCAGTTACCATTAGAAATCTGGGTCTTGATACTGGTCTCGGGTTTGTGTATATATAGTATAAAAGAAATATTTATATTTGTACATTGTATGAAAACAATGTGTGATTCAAACACAATTTATTTAAGTGTGTATTCATCAATGTGTACATCACTTATATGTGACTTGCTGAACTGATAAGAATAGAAGTGTTTATGATACAGACACAACAGTTTAAAGTCTGGTTAGATTAACGTGAAAATTGATATAATTGATATACAATTTTATAATGTGAAATATTTTGATGAAGAAACTGTGCAGAGTTCTTTCCTAGGTACTATGGACCTTCATACTCTGTACTACAATATGTATCGGCTAAATTGGCCTGTAAAATTGTTATGGTCAACATACTTATCACTTTATATATATCACTCCAGCAGGGGTCAGCTTTATTATCAAAACCACAGGGATCTGAGATTAACTTACATTATGAACATGTATGTTCACCTCAGAGTTACCTACAAAACTGAAAAACTGTTCACCGTCTGCATTGTCAACCTTTCGAACAATCTCCCTGTATCCCATGTTGAAGCATAAACAATAAACGTGTTCAAAACCAGGCTGATAATAATATAAGAAAACTGCAAGCTTCACAGAAGCTAACCGAGTCATTTTATTTAAATATATCCTGCATAGTGTGATATGGAAAATACACAGAAATATATTGTATAAAATGTTATGTATGTATATATGTATATCTGATCAAGTTGTTTACTAGTAACTGTACATGTTTAACTTTGATATATTGTGTATATATATACATATATGTAATATAATATAAGCAGAGCAGTAATACAAATTAACAGTCCTGTAGCCATATATCAAGTTATTTTGAATACAGTACATTACACAATATTTTTGGGGAGATATACCTACGATATTTCCGAATTTAGTCCTTTCTGAACCCTTTATCATAGATCTCCCCCCCCCCCCCAAAGATTATATTGTATTATCATTTGGGTAGGCATTTTTATGGAAAGTTGATATAAAACCCGAAAACATCTTAATAACTCTGAACACCTCTGACATAGGTCCAATATATATATATATATGTATAGCTGTGTGGCAGACTTTTTAATTGTATTATGATTAATGGTCCTGCACCTAAGAGGGATGTACCCATTATCTCAGTGGTAAACCATCCGACAAGGACCCTAATTAATGGTCACAGGTTCAACACGAAGGTGGAAGCCCAGGCCACTACTCTCATTCCTGTTACAGCTGTATCAAATACTCAGGTTCCTGTGTCCCACACAGCTTAATTACAGTGGCGGATCCAGAGGGGTTTTTTGGGCTTCAGGAAACCCCCCCACCCTGAGAATTTTCGTTAAAAATCATGTATTTTCACCATTTTCCTCAATTTTTACCCACATGGAAACCCCCCCAGGAAATTTGGAAACCCCCCCAGATAGGTCTCTGGATCCGCCACTGTAATTAGTGTGCCTAGATCTCGACAGCCAACATGAAGCTTCATTAGTTAATAATGTAATACATGTTCATGCCCGATTGGGGAATCAAATTTTATAAATTTAAGGAACAGATAAGCTGGTTTTCTATGAACTTGTAGTTGACACAGTGGTGTGAATATCATACACAATATTTGACGAGGAAGCCAATTCATTTAGCTGCGTATTTTACTGTACCGAAACTTGTGCTGGTGAAATATGTATCGAGTCCATGAAATTCTCTAATTTGTGCAGGTCGTTGTACACGAAGTCGATTATCATACACGTCAGTAACATGGTCAGGTTTAGGGCCAGTCCACGGCGGCTAGGAACTATAGATCAAGTTTTTGTAATCATGACTGTCACAATCGTCCGCGATCGCGACTACACGTGCACGTACGTGTGTACCTGAAAGTTTGTAAACAAAAACTGAAGTTGAGCTTACCTTCGATTTAATGATCTTTACAGACGACCGAATTCATCACTTCTCCGTATTAGAATCCATGCTAATTATGAAATAAGTTAGTCTAGTCGGGCTGACCTTAAGATATTAAATACCACACCAGGAAACGAAAGAATGTATAACCTCTTATCTCAAATTTACCCGGAAGTTCGAATTGTCACAGTCCAATGAATACTGCGGGTCAGACTGAAACTTCAACAGTACGCGTACGGCATATGTACATCGTCGTTTCAGTTTAACACACAAAATAAATACAGAAATATTACGAAGCGTAACTAAATTCGTATAAAAATAATCTCCCTCCTGATACTGTATCTAGCCCGACAACAAACTCTTGCAAAAAACGTTCCTCTCCATCTAAACCCTCCTCTGACATTAATCTTCAAACTGTAGAAGTTGGTCAGTACCCAAATTATAATTTGTCGGTGAAACTTACCGTTGAAACCCTGGTCGTGGACTTAGATCTTATCCCGCAAATCAAACAACTTGAATAGCTCGAATGTAACTGGCTTCCAATGTCAAGCTGTATAGGAAATCGGTATGTACTTATATTAGGGAACAATTTAAGTCAGGGGCGTTTATAGATTTACTAGCAGGCCTGTATACGTAGTGCATGCAAGATTTAAAGGTCTAGATCTAAAACCCATTTGCTTCAAATTTGGCCATATACATGTCGGTAATCCAACATGTGCAGACGATATGCTGATCCAGTTTGATCTACAAGTGCTGATGTACATCAAAACTTAATTACTATGCTGAAAAAGAGCAAATATCATCAGTGCTGAGAAGAGCAAAATTCTATGCTTCAATGTGTCACCTAAACACGGAAAGATTCTCCAATGGAGGCAATTACCAAGCACAAACATTTGGGGATTAACAGGACGTACGGGGGATTCTTCATTAAAATCAAAATTTAAAGACATAAAACATCTAGTCCAAAAGAAACTCCGGACGTCTTACTGGGATCATATTGAAGATATAAAAAATACCAAGAGTCCAAATCCTAATAACAAATACTCTGGCGATCCGATAACTGCGGCATTTCCCGACTAAAGCAAGAGGGCAAATTAATACATAATCCTGTCGGCAAAGCGCAAGTGCTCAACGCACAGTTTCAATCTGTTTTTACTCTACCTGAAACCCTCAATGATCGCCAGTCTACTTTCAGATGTAACATGCCTCTTGACCATCAATTTCCAACCATGCCTGATATTGAGATCCATGAACATAATATACTAAAACCATCTTAAATGGCGATCCCTTGCCGACAGACGCAGAGACACAAACCTATGTGTGATGTTCTAAATTGTAAACAATCGGGTAGTTATTAGTAAACACACTAGACTTATACCAGCAACCAGGCAATCAAGGCATGCCCACCACCAATCCTTCCAAATACCACATTGCAGAACCCAGGTCAGAAAACAATCCTTCTTTCCACGATCAATATCTGAGTGGAATAAGATCCCACCAGATACCATATCCTCCTGTTCTACTACTGAATCTTTTAAATCTGCTCTCCTGTCACTGTACCCTCAAAATTAAATCTATATATATATCATTTTGGCTTTCTCGGAATCGACTAAATCTCTTTCTCCCTCATGATCACTCATGCCATTATCTTCAACTTGTTGAAGTTAGTAATTACCATTTAGAAGTAGAGGTACGTCAACTGCTAAAAATACCCTTGACCACATTGCCGAAGAAAGGATACACTCGCGACGCAAAACCACCTACTCACTTATGGGTGCTGGTCTCCTTCGTTACAGTACTCGTCCAACTGTGGAATTGTTATGTCAGACCAAGAATGCTATATGGACTGGAAGCTGTAACATTGTCAAAAAACGACAAGGACATTCTTAACATCTATCACAAACAAACCCTAAAACATCTCATGGGGCGACCAAAACATGTCGCTGTTGGGGCTACCAAAACACATGTGGCTGTTGGGGCTACCAAAACACATGTGGCTGATGGGGCTACCAAAACACATGGGGCTGATGGGGCTACCAAAACACATGTGTCTGATGGGGCTAACAAAACATGTGGCTGATGGGGCTACCAAAACATTTGGCTGATGGGGCTACCAAAACATGTGGCTGATGGGTCTACCAAAACATGTGGCTGATGGGGCTAACAAAACACATGTGGCTGATGGGGCTACCAAAACAGGTGGCTGATGGGGCTACCAAAACATGTGGCTGATGGGGCTACCAAAACATGTGGCTGATGGGGCAGTGTAGAAGCTTTGATTGATAAACAGACCAATCTCATGTCTGGTAATGTTATACTTATATCATCAGGTGAAAAAAGACATTGCAGAAAGACAGATGGCTATCAAGAACAACTCATCCAGGAGTTGTTTTATATATATGTCAAAACCACTATGGAGAAATACAACCTACCGTCTGCTCTGGAACTTATCGAAAACATTCCCAAAAGAAACATGTGGAGAAAACAGGTCGAGTGTGACATTAACACTTTCTGATGAATCGCATTCATGAGCTACACAAAGGGAAATCTACACTCGCCTTCCTCCATCCAAATTCAATGACAATTTCAAATGCACTGGATACACAGGCAGACAGGAAAACGCTCACGAAAGCCAAAATTGCAGTCGGAGTCTATCCCCTCCAACACATCAGAGCAAAATATTAGAAAAACCATCAAACCAACCTGCTTAATTTGTAAGGATGGAAACGGGGATATCGAACATTTTATACTACGCTGTGAGTCCCTGGAATGCACCAGATTCCCCTACATAGCACAAATCAACAAAAGTATATTGGACAGCTGTGACGAAGTCATGTCGGCAACTATACTGGGTGCCTGTCGAACTCTACTACAGATTATATTGGATGCGAAGGACCCGTTGATACTACCTCCCATCTTGAAACGTTATCTAGAAATCTGTGTTTTGCGCTCCATAATAGGAGAAGTGTACTGTTAATCTAACAATGCTTCTATCAATCATTGGCTCAAGCGTGCTCTGCTGGATCGATACCCCCATTTCTATATACTATACAATAAAATCTATCAAACCAAATATATATACTTGGGTTTTGATTCCCTTTATTATATTAATATTAGACCTAACGATACTAGTCATAGTACCTATAAAGTATGAACCGACTACCAATTAAGTTACTATAATACTTTAATGAGTCTCTATGTAAGTTTGTTGTCTACAAATTCACATTCACACACGTAAGTTCAAATAGGATTTCACACACGTATACAGTATTTGAATACTGGTTCTCCTACTATAGAAGGAAGATACAAAACAAGACAAGAATAGTCTGTTTTTATTATGTTTGGTCCGAAATAGTCATCGAACGTAGAAATTTCGGAACAAAAACGAAGAATTAAATATTGAGTAATGATCAAACACTCAACTATTGCTCTCAAAAACCACAAGATGGAAACATAGAGCGTGTAGAAGATCTATCTAAACTTGTTTTCAGTGGGTTAATTGAGGCCTAAGGACGGCTATAGATGATCAACTTTAATCTAAATGCACATCACTTAATTATAGTTCAGCTAAACGCGCCTGTTGACTCATCAAAACAACATCCGGAGTCTTACTCGAGGTCTGGTACTAACCACGGAAATGTATATTATGTAAGGGCGCGTGTGCCTAACTCTTACTAATTACGTATATTACGCATGTGTGTGGTAAAGCCCTGTTTTCCATTAATTATTATCTAATTACGTGCTACAGGTAAGAGTACAGTCTCGTGTCAAATTAGCTAAATGTCACAAGCGCTTTCATTTCTACACCTCTTACAATCTTTGCACTGATTTCGTGAAGAGTGAGAGAGAGAGAAAAATAGAAATGCAAGAAATATGAAGGGG